TGTTAAAAAATCATCATAATCAAGCATCATCTTCTGGATCCATATGTCTGACATGTTTATGTTCCAACTATATTACTATAAACAAAACTATATGTCTTAAATTTGATAACTAATCTCTATAACGGATGTCTATACTTTATTGCAGTGCTGAATTTCACAAGACACCATGACCAATCTCAGCGTTATCTCAAATACATTCCTTGATTATCTGCGTCTTGAAGACCTGATGCATATCTCAGATAAAGAAGAACTGAGAACCATTTATAAAAATGAATTTAAACAGAAATATCCCATGCTGAAAGGTTCATTTTCAGCTGTTTTTTATAATATGAAATTCAGGAAAAAAATATATTTTGCCAAGAACGAAGTCAAGTTCAGGAATGTTGGTGGGTATCATCCTCTTGCTGTTGATCAGTACACATCACTCAACAACCAAAGGCGTCACCAATATAGAGAACAGGAGCAAAAACATGACGGCGATGAAGCTCAACAACAACAACAGCAACAGCAGCAGTCACAGTTACAAAGATGGAGATGTCGTGTGTGTGGGGTGAGATGTAATTCTGATATATCATTTCAAGAACACATAGATAGCAAGCGACACAGACAACAGCTTATACTTAAAGTGTTAAAAATGGACAGGTAAGTCATCTTGGTGTGATAAATACACTACATCCTGGTTGCTATGGTAACTAACCATATGTATAGAGTACTGTTAATGAAGGTGCATGCTTTTTTATGATTTGTTATTTCTTCATTCAGAGACAAGCTTATTGCAAATAAAAATGGTGTTCGTATATGTTCAGATTGTGATGGAGATAAAGGAGCTATTCATCTTAATGTGATGAAGAAAGAGAGAAAAAGTGTTGATATTAAAGTTACTAATTACAGGTGAGTTTGGTGTCCTGCTGACAGTTTTACAAATAATATTTATTAACTTAGCACTGACTTAGAAAAGTACAGTAATAATAAGGTCTGTATGATTAAAAAACACACAAAAAAGAGAGAAATAATAAAAAAAAATCTTATGAACTTCTGTCAGCGACTAGAACTTGGTTCTACAGTTTTGACATAAAATGTAATAAAGGTGGTTAAATAAACATAACAAGTTAGATATCTAAAATCTACTACAATACAGATACATGGAATAATGTAAAAAAATATTAATGACCCATTAGGTGGTTTTCTCTAACGGTATTTGCTGTTTTTATAAATTTGATAAGCTCTGTTAGTAAATATTTGTTGTTTGTATTCAATATATGAATGAATTTTTCTTTGTTTGTACAGTGTTGAAAATTGTTAATTTTCTTTGGAAAATGTGAATATAACAACTCTCTTTCATCTGTGTAAAGTTTACATTTTGTGATGTAATGAATTTCATCCTCAAGTAGGTTGCATTTAGTACATTTTCTGTCTTCTGTTTTTATTTTTGGTCTTTTGTGCCTTCCCATCTCGATGTTTAGTTTATGGGCACTTAATCTCAATTTTGCTAATAGACCAATGTTTTCTTTATTATCAAGGATTTTAATGTATGGTTCACTATTTATATTTTTCTTCAGTAATGTATAAGTTCTTAGTTTTGAATCTGGTCTTTGATTATCTTGGTTCCATTTATAATTGTAATATTCATTCACTTTTTGTTTAAACTGGTCTTTTTTAATTGTTTCTAAATTCTTAATATCATACAGTTGTTTTATTTTATGCAGATTCATTAACCATGTGTCATATACTAGACTGATTGGGCCATTCTTAATAATATTTTGGTAGTATATGATTGCATTCAGTTGTATTTTTGCTAGTAATGGTAGTCGTCCAATTTCCATTCTACTACCAATGTTACTTGTTCTGTTATTAACATTTAATAAGCGTCTACAGAACATTAAATGGTGTTTTTCTGTACACGTTTTGTCCCAGTACTCTGCCATTGATTCCCCAAATTTCTGCAGCATAAGTTAAAATTGGTGTCTGGATGCCCTCAAATAATTTCAATTGTAAAAGCATGTTTAGCTTGTTTGATGTTAATACTGGTTTGATTGCTGCATCAGCTTTTTTTAGTCCCCGTTCGGACGAAGTCCGAAAACGGGGACTTATAATTCGGTCTCTGTCCGTCCGTCCGTGTGTCCGTGCGTCCGTCCGGAGTCATATCTCAGAGTCCCTTGGACCGATTCCGTTCATTCTTTGCATGTGCCTAGTACTTTATGTGGAACATATGCA